GCCTCTGTACACATCACTGCTACTTTCTTCACTGCCGCGTTTAAAGGCTACCCCCCTCCCTCCCCCCGCAATTTGTTTCTCCAAGTTTTCATTGCTAGGTTGCGATTTCTAATTAGAGCTAAGTATTTCACTTAATATTTAATTTAGACGCCCAGCACATATATCATACATAGATCAGTCAATCAAGTGTCCCTTGCTGATAATGCTACATCATTAAGAGTTGTGTTTAATTCAGGAACTAGTGACTGCGCGGCTGCTGCTGCTGCGCCAGAGCAGGTAACTTGCGCCTTCGGAGCCGCGATCAAATTGAGGGAGGCGGCGGGGACGAGACCGACCCGAGCCCGAGCCCGAGCCGGGCGGCTGCAGGGCCGCCGCTTCCTCGGGAAAGTTTGCGGCTTCCCAGCTCGGGACCGCTCGGCGGAGGGAAGCCAAAATCCTTCTCACCCTCCTTGGGGAAGAAACAAAAACAAAAGTTTCCACCCTTTTCCATCTTTCAGTCGCTGTGTTTACGAGGAATAATAAAAATAAAATAAAAAAAAAATAAAAAATAAAAAACCAGACAATCCTAAAAGTTTGCCCTAAGAGTTCTTACATTGTTTTGGGCCAGTAATAGAATACCCCTTCGGATTCTTAGACCAATCCAAACCGTTAAAGAAGAAGAAAGAAAAATCCAAAAATCCCACCACTTTTCCCTCGTATTTCTTAAGAACAACCTGCACAGCGAGAATTGCACCGACACGATTGAATTAAGGGAGCCGAATGGGCCAGATCTTACATCTCCATCAAAACCACATTCATGTATCCTGAGAAAACGTGACAAGGAAAATAGAAAGAAAGAAGGAGAGAGAAGAAAGGAGAGGCGGAGGATTTTTTTTTTTTTAAGCCGGCAGCTGTACAAAATTGTGAGCACTTGCCTCCGACAAATGACCAGAAATCAATTATATCGTAATTAAATATATATGTTTTAATGCCCGCGCCGGGTTCTCCTTTACCTGCCCTCGCCTGTCCCGGTCTCCCCCCTCGGCTCTGCCCGCGGTGCCGCCGCGCGTCCCGCTCGCCGGTTCCCTGCCCTGGCCCCGGCTGCGCCCCAGCCTCCCCCGATAAAAAAAAATAATCAGCCCTCGCCAGCGGCTTCGCCTGAGTCACTCCCGAGTCAGGATTAACGGGGCACTAACTAGGCAGCAGAAAATCGCAGCCTCCTGGGAGCTGCCATCAAAACAAGCAGCGAAATAAAAGAGCTTCCCTCCCTGCTTCCCTTCCTCCTAGCCCCGAAAAAAAAAAAAAAAAAAAAAGTGCTCCAGGTTGGCGGCCAGGCACACAAGCACCCGCGCAACTTCGCAGGCTCCTTCAGAGAAGCAGCGTGGGCATTTATGGGTTTATTTAGAGGGAGTCTATTTTATTATTGTTGTTATTATTATTCTCGGGTTTTGGGCGATATTATTCCCCCCCCGCACCTCCCGCCCTGCAGAGCCTCATGTCATCCTAGCAGCTAAAACAATGCACCATGCGGGACCAAGCACGAGTGACCGGGAGCGGAAAGCGCTTTCCTCCCCCGCGAAGGGGACCAGCGACTAGGGGCTCCCGTCTGCCCTGCCCGGGACCCCCCGAGCCCCACGCGCGACGTTGGGGGAGGGGAAGAGCTGGGCTGCGCAGAGCTGCGCGGCCGCGGCAGCCTCCTCGCGGGACCTGAGCGCGCCGAGAAGCAACTTACAGGATCCGGAAAGGATTTCGCCATCCGAGAGGGCAGCGGCTACCGCCGCCGTGCTCCGCGCCCGGCTCCGCGTTGCGCGGCTGCTGCGCGGCTGCTGCGCGGCTGCTGCGCGGCTCCCGCCGGCTGCGCGCTCGGCGTTGGCCGCGCGCACTGACAGTTTGCAGCCAGCAGCTGCAGTCATTAAAAGCCATTTACACCCTGGCCTCGGCATACAAAGCTGGAGCGCCCGCAATTATGCGCTTGCACATTTGGGGACACGGGAGCTCGTCCCTCGCCGGCAGCCGGAGAGCAGCGCCCAGGAACGAAGCKGCGTCCGCGCCCGCGCTCCGGTGCGGAGCGGGGCTTTGGGAAGCGCCCGGTATGAGGTGCTCGGCACATCGGGGTTGCAGAGCTGCTGAGCGTTAGGAATGGGGGCACAGCAAACATGCAGGGCATGGAAATTCCCTCCAGGACGGGCGGGCATGGAAGGAAACGTTTTGCGCAGGGAGAGGAAGAGGGAAGGAGAGAAAGACAAGAAAGAGAAGGAAAAAAAAGAGAAGAAAGAAAGAAAGAAAGAAAGAAAGAAAGAAAGAAAGAAAGAAAGAAAGAAAGAAAGAAAGAAAGAAAGAAAGAAAGAAAGAAAGAAAGAAAG